TTTTGCTAATCACACCGGCGCCGCCCTCATATTAGTCCACCTTAGCTTACGTAAGTTCTGACGCCGCAGTTGAATTTATTAGGGGCGATGCCCTTTTATGAGTTATCCGACTGGCAAGTTTTGCTCACCGGTGCAAGTGCATGCGATTTCCGCCATTTAGTCGTTTGGGTTTGCCTAATGAGTTCATTTTTGTCGATTCTGCAGGTATTAGGCCATCCCAATCTGGAAGCCTCGGCTGGGGGTGGGTTTTTGGTTCGGTCTGTTACTTTTCTATTGTTTTATCCAAGTAGTAGTGTACTTCATCTCTATAGCAGTAGTGTTTTAGTAATGAGTTTGAATGCTATAGTCAGTGTGTCCTAGTGTATTCTTTTTTGTAGGATGTAGTAGTGATTATGTTCTTGTTTTATAATGATTCTTTTGTCATTGTATTAGTGATTCGCTGGTTTTGTGTTTTGAGATTAGTAGTGATTTTTGTTGATGGTGTGATAGTCTTGGTGGAGCAATTTGCGACCCTCTCTAGTGGTCTATATAACCGATTCCGCTAGTGTGGTTATGTTATAGTTTAGTAAAAATACTACTAGTAGCACTACTACACTTTGTACCATTTTGAAAACAGTCAAAATACTATAAATACCACTACTACCATTTCGAAAACACTACCAGTACTCACTACTACATTGACTTATGTACTCTCACTACTTAGTTGCCAAAAATACTACCAGTACCATTGCTACCATTTTGAAAAACTACTAGTACAACTACGGCTATTTCAAAAATACTACTAGTACCCACTACTACAAGGAAAACTATTTCGAAAGTACTACCATCACTGCTACTACATTGCCCAAAGTACTATCACAATTTGGTTGCCGAAAAGCACTACTACAAGCCTTGTTCAATTGAAAATATTAAAACACAACACATTTGTGTATGAGCACTGTCATCCGAATGAACAAAGTTTCCCATGCAAAACCACTACACCTAATTGAGAATAAAACGCTACTACACCTGAGACAAAGCCTTTCCCTCAATAATGGCTTCAAAGTTCAAAGTCTAGTCGTCCACTCGTTCCTGAGAAGTTCAAAATGGGGAATTATAACCGTCTGCCCCTTAAATCCTCCCAACGTAAATATTTTTTTTTATGCTTTTAATATTTATTGTCGCTTGTCCATAATACCCTTAGGGTGCGTTTGGATAAGTGTATTTTAAATGTAAGGTATTTGGAATGCTAGCATTTGAAATGGATGTATTTGAAATATTAGCATTTGAAATACATGTAATTCAAATTCATTGTTTGGATACTCATTTGTAATTTGTTTGTATTTTGTATTTTATGATTTTGAATTTCAATTTTTAAATTTCTGGTCACTTACTACAAATTTTGGTAAATTACAGTTTGGTACCCAAATTTATTTTTTTACAATTTAGTACCTAAAATTTTAAAATTTTACAAAAAGGTCCTGAAATTTTGATGGTAAAATTACATTTTGGTACCTTTATATATTTTTCCTCGCACTATAGTACCTAAACTTTTCATATTTTACAAATAGGTCCATTCTTTTGTTAGGAGGTATTTCAAATCACTAGTTGTTGAAATGTATTTGAAGTTGACAAAAAATACACTAGACATGTATTTGGAAATCACCCCATGAATTTGACACAAATCCAAATACCAAATGTAATTAATATCCAAACACATGATTTAGTATTTGGAAATCCAAATCACAAATACCAAATCCAAATCATTGTATCCAAACGCACCCTTATTGTTTTGTAGCCATTAGATTTGGATTTGTTGTGAACGGAGTATATCATAGTTAGGACGGTGCTAACCCCCTATGGAGTTAGCACCCTATCTTCTCCCCACAAAAGTATTGTCGGAGAGGTGGTTCCAACTTAAACTGGTCACAGATAAAATCATTTGGTGACGATACAAATTCGTCAAAAGTGTATAGTATTCGTTACAAGGAAAAGTTGTCACAATCGAGTAAGTCTTATGTGACGACAAATCTTGTCATGAATAAAAAATATACATGTTGGTTATTACTTTAGGTAACACCACCTATAGGTGATGCTACGAAAAGTGTTGCATATCACATATACAACACTTTCGAGACTTCTTACAACACATTTCATGTGTTGGCAAATGCAACTTTTCCCGTAGTGTTATGACATGTATATTCTACTGTGTGTAATGTGTAGTGTTTCCAAACACTTTAGTATGAAAAATAAGCTTTCAAGGAAAATAAAAAAAGGAAAGAGAAGGAAGAAAATAAAGGTTTCGTTAAAGAAGAAAATGCATTGTACTTGGTGGAGATGATGGTGCTTTGAAGTAGGATGAGCGATCACAAGGAATCCAAAATGAAATTTGCAATAATTTGTTACAACAATGATCAAATAGTGTAGTCTAATTGAGTTTTTAGGATGTTGAAAATCGGGTTAGCAAGTCGAAAATTATACGAGTATGATATTTTCAGTAAATAAATGATTTGAAATCTTTTATGGTATGAAATAAAATATGTTTTCCTTCAGACAATTACTATGGTTATTTATACTATTAACGAAATTTATCCGGCCAACGGGTGGGCCCCAATCTAGTAATATATAAATGGGTTAGTAGTTAGTACAGTAAAATGGTCTCTTCACTTTACTAATCAACTAAGTTGACCCGATAATTTTTATAAATCATAATCATGTACTCAACTTTATACTTTTTGGAGATTTATGTCTTGATCGTCAAATTGAACGGTCAAATCATTGGCCATTAATCAATGTATCATATTAGCTTGAGAAAATAATAAAATATACATAATTAAAAATAAATTATGTTTAACAAATTAGTAAAATATTAAAAAAATATCGTATTTTGTTATTATTTGAAATAAATAGAAAAAAAATAGTTAAAAAATAGCTTAACAGATTCGCAATTCCCCTTCTTCGAAATTCATCCCACGAAAGCTTTTTCTGTGAGAAACAGAGCGCAGAGGGGCGCTCTAACCCTTAATCATTAACTAGACGCGGGATCTGAGTTCCAATAACATCATAGTACAGCCAATAGTTCATCATAGGGCTCGGATTGTTAATCACATGAACCCCAACCGGTAGGGGTGGCTATTTGGACCGGGACCGGATTAAAAACCGGAAACCGGACCGTATAACCCAGACCGAGACCGGACCGGGACCGGATAGTAAACAATCCAATCCAATCTTTGGGCTTAGATTTGAGGTAAAAAATCGGATAAAGACCGGATAAGAGAGCTCAACACCCAAAACTTAAGGGTAATTTGCATAAACGGTCACAAACTTTTGCACTTAGTACAAAACTTAACCAACTCCTCACCCTTTATGGCCTTAGGCCACTCAAATCCCACAATCTCAATGTAAAATCAATACCAAATTGGGACCGGACCGGATCAAAACCGAACCGGATCAAGATCGGACTGTATCCAATCCAATCTTCGGTCCTTATATTTTCAAAAAGACCGGACTGAACCGGATCAATTTGGGCCAATTTAACCAGACCGGACCGTATAGCCACCCCTACCAACCAGCATATTATGCCCAATACCAGCCAAATAGTGGGCGACATGATGGCCTTCATGATAAACATGTTTAATATTAACTTCCCAATCCATTTGTATGAGCCGTCGTGCAGCAGCAACCAACGTGCGGTGCACGTGATTCTCTTCTTCTGCCTACAGCAACTTGATCACCGTCTCGGAATCGGTCTGCAGCTCAACCTTCCTTGCACCATTCGCCCATGCCATTTCCAGTCCCTGAACAAGCCTGCAAGCTCTGCATGTGTAATCGAGCCTCCCCTAAGTTCGCAGAGAAAGCAGAGATGAACCTTCCATCATTACCTCGCAGCACTCCCCCCCGCCGACGTACTCCCCCGCGATAAGATTACGGAGCCATTCGTATTGACACAAGACCATCCTTCCGGCGGACCTTGCCAGCCAACCAGCTTAGTAGAGCTCCTTGTGGATTTCTGGCCAGTCACCCGGCTCATACCATTCAGAATTACAGAGATTTGGTGCAGTAGTGCTTGCACTCGACAAACCAGCTGGGAGGTTGACGCGAGCTTATCCTCAAACACCCATTCGTTCCTGTTCTTCCAAAGTTGCCAGCAGAGGACCGCAAAAAGTGTAGGATCGACTGTCGAGTAAGTTCTGCTTTCCTAACTTCACATTAGCATTGAAGCCATGTTCCCTCCCAGTTAATGTTATCTCCAACGTTTTATGCGCCTATTCCTGGTCTGGTGAATAGCCGCCGCTGCATCATTAACCCAACGAACTTATTTATGAATGCAGCCTCATCGTGGCTCTCCTCCCGTTATCTCCGGGGGAACGACGAGACTTTCTGGGAAACCTGGCCGATGCTAACGTCACTCTCGAGATAATATTGAAAGATGACAATGAGGAGGGCTGGCTTGGTCCACTCATTCGTGACCGGACCACTGCCATTATGGAGCTATTGGACGTTTTTCCAATTCACGAATCTCAGCTTCTGTTTCGTCTCCTCGTTATCAGCCCACTCTTTAAACGGAAGACCCGAGCACTCCTAGCGGGGCCATCTCGGATCCGGACTTTAAACGTTGGCATGGTCAGCTGGCCAATGATGCAGTGACCGTATCTCAATGGCGGGAATTAGGCCTCGACCGATTTCTTTCTCTATGTTTGTTGTCGCCGAAACCTGATCCCGAGCTGTTTAAAGCCGCCATATGCTTCTGGTCAACAGAAACTAATTGTTTCGTGCTCCCATTGGGGTCGATGACGATCACTCTGCTCGACATAGCGGTCCTGATTGGCATATCAAAGTCGCGTGTGCAATCAAGGAGAGCCTTGTACCCAGCTACCTCGATAGCTTTTGACCGATCTTACGAATCACTCTACAACAACAATGCGTCGATCGTTCCAGGTAAACCCGTTTCCGACAGCGAGCGGGTGGCCTTCCTTCATTACTAGTTTGGTCGGTTCGTGCTTTGCACCCACCAACCCAACATGGACACGTATACAATCTCTGCAATCTTCACTGGCGAATGTACCAATCTTGATGAAGTTGTGCTCTGCCACCTCTATCGGGGTATGTATACTATCGTGAACCTTATCAAGGAGGCTACAGATGAAGGTGGCATCCTCAGTGTTGGGCCCTTATGGCTACTACAACTTTGGCTGCATGCTTATTTCCCTGCGACTCACGGCCCTCTACCAGCTCTTCAAACGGCAGTTCAAGATACCACCATGCTCACATATGGCCATTGTTTGGCTAAAGCAACTTTGCGAAAAGGGGATTTTATTAATTATTTTACCTTCTTTTATGAGGTCCGAGAGATCCCCAGCTTCACTCCCTTTGCGGAACGGACATTCGGCTCCGCTTCGTTCAAACTCATTTTTTACGAGCCACCACCGCGAGGTGATCCCGCCGCCACTTACCATGAATTCCTTGAGGAGCTCAAACGTTACCTAACAGATCGGGACCTCTTCTTTACTCCTACTGGCTCAGAAGTACTCAACATTAGACTTACAACCCTCATCTTGCAGCTCGAAAATTCAGCCTCGTTCAAGCATGGCCTATGTTACCTCCCTCGTCCTTGAATTTTCTAAAATTCCATCAACGACCCTCAGAGCTTACCGCTGGACAAATTATGGAGGTACGAGGTCACCAAGAATCCGCACAATACTTTTCTCCTCATAAAAACGTGGTGAATAAAATCTCGCCCCATTTCAAGGATGCATGGAATTCACTAGCATCACGCATTTTCGGCAAGTCGTTATCTTATATCCTTGCCCGGCTAGCTCCTGACCACGATGGTGGCTCAAACACGTCAGCGTTCAATAATCTCTCAAAACGGCGAGTAGGTAAAACCCTCGTCTTCAAAATCCTCTTTATGCTTCCTGTGACATTCATATTTCAACTCCCGCATTACTCATGTACCTGTTCGCCGCCCTCTTAAAACTTCAATTATTGCAGTTATTAAGAGCCGTCGGCCATTTACTCGTCCCTCTCCATCTCTTCTCACAACTCCCATCATTGAGATTAGCTTTACCCATACTTTCTTATACTACCCGACCATCTTTTGGCTAACCTCCTTCTCACACCCTTGCTTCCTTTTGCAGGTAGACACCGTCGATTTTGATACCAAGTACATCTTCAATACTGCGATGGAATCATCTAGGACCTCTCTCCCCGCGTCGTCTTCGCCCTTGGCTGGACTTTGACACCGAGTCAAAGAAGCATTGAAGATGATGGATCAATTTCTTAGCATTCGTCTGTTGACTTCCATGCGTGACCAACCCACAGTATGGCCCGGCTCTGCTTGCAAGACTCTGGAGACTTTGAGCGTTAACATTCCACCACTTAGTGCTGCTGACATGGCATTCCTCCGCAGAGTGGGTAAAGACCTAGTGGAACGCGGGAAAGCTGTGCAACCAGCTCTGCAAGTGGCTAAAGCAAGTACGAAAATTATCATGCCACGAGCCGCACTCACTGCTCAAATGCTAACTCTCGCCAAAGGAGCTGCACAAATGCGACATTAGGAAGCGGCCTTGATCGCCACTGACCCCACTCGTGCGGAGATAGAAGCACCAGTTGAGCTGCAAGCAGCGCCAAAGCTTTTTCACTCAGGTCCGCACTACTCTATCTCGCATTGCCGAGCAGCTCGCCAATTACGAGCCGTCCGACTCCTAAGAGAACTTCTTTTCTGCATTTTGGAATTTACCTTGTATTTTTGTTTTGGCATCGTTTCTCGGATTGCACACTTTTATTTCGTTAGATTCTCTTTCTTGTGCCACATCAACTCGACCTATGAAAAACTTAATTTGCTCATCATTATTTATTGAATTTTGGCAAACGATTGCTCTCTTTACTTCAATCCGCAGCCCCACTCTAACCTCAACGACTGTGTTTGAGTATGGCCGACTGGCTAGTTCTAGCCTACGATAGCATTCTTAATTTTTCCTATGCCAAGTACCAAATCGTCTATGCCAAACTACAGTGTTAACCATTCCTACTTCGCGTGGCAAAAACGGCTTCGTTTGATAAGATAGGAACATTTTGGTACCGAACATCGGTACCGCACTGGCTGGACTCGAGTGAACCCTCCGCTGGCCTTAAAGGCATTAAAAATTTTCTTTATTAGTAACGAAGCTGGCAAATTAGTGTTCGTGGCGCATATTTGATGGAGTTTGACGGCGTGTCAACTTCTCTCGGTATCACAAAGCTGGCCTTAAACGAAATTTTTTTATTATTATTAGTAACGAAGCTGGCAAATTAGTGTATTTGTTACATACTTCGCCATTCCCGCACTATTCAACCATGATGCAAGCTTGATGGCCGACGAGGCCACGTCCTTTTAGAACATGGTTGATCGTCATTGGCTAGATTAATGACCAGTTGCGTCTCATAGGGACGGCACATATGGCTTTATCTACTTGCCATTTATCAAACGCTCATGCATCACTCCATCTATGTCTTTCAGCAGGTACGCTCCATTAGGATGCACAGAATGTACCACAAATGGTCCACGCCAATTTGGTGACCATTTTCCAAACTTGGGATCTTTTTCCCCAATCCCCAAGTGAGCTTTCCAAACCAGTTCGCCCTTCTCGAATGATTTGTGCCGAACCTTCTTGTTATAAGCTCTTGCCACTCTTGCTTTCTGTACTTGAAAATTATCGAGGGCGCGGAGTTGAAGTTCATAAAGATCGCAGAGCTCAAGCATCATTGATTCATGATACTCCTCAGGTGTTAACTCGTGCTGCTTCATATACCGGAGTGAGTTGACGGTCACCTCCATGGGAAGGAATGCTTCATGACCGTAAGTTAACGAGAACACACTCACTCTCGTACTGCTCCGCGGTCACATCATGTATGCCAACAACGCTTCTGATAAAATTTCATGCCAACGTCGCGGATTATCCTCAATCATCTTCGTTAAAATATTTTTCACGACCTTGTTGGATGCTTCCGCCTGTCCGTTAGCTTGTGTGTAATACGGCGTAGAATGGATAATTTTTATCCCCCGCGAACTCCTTAACTTGCACGCCAGTGAACACAGTTCCTTGGTCCGGCATTATTGTTGCTGGCAAACCTAATCGATGGATAATGTGTTCTTGTATGAAAGAAATCACTTCCTCTTGGTTCGCCACCTTCAACGGTTACTTAGTGAAGTAGTCAGTGGCCAAAATTATGAAAACATGATTCTTTGAAGATGGAGGATAAATCATACCAATCAAATCCATGCCCCAACCATAAAACGGTCTCGGTTTGATTATGGATTTCAGATCTACCGTCGGCGCTCTTTCAACGGGACCGTGACGTTGACAAGCCTCGCAGCCCATGGCATATGCGGCACAATCTGGCCTGATGGTGGGCCAGTAGAATCCATAGCGATGTAGAATCCATCGCATGGAAGGACCAGCTTGGTGGGATCCGCATATTCTTTCGTGCACCTCTGCCATGGCTTGCAACATCTCCTTGCCCCCCAAGCATTTCAACAATAACCCATCAAGTCTAGGTTTATACAAGGTCCCATCCAAAACTACGTAGCTCCTTGCTCTAAACTTTACAGCATGGTCAACAACCTTGTTTGGATCTTGCAAGTAAGACAACAGTGGTGCACGCCAGTTGTCGGCGTCTTTCTCTATTATGCAAATTTGCTCTAAGGGCTTAAGTGTTAGCACCACTATCTTTTCTAATGCATTGCTTTTCGCAAACTCTTTAAATCCTGAAGCCATTTGTGCAAGATAGTTGGCTTCGCTATTGTCCATTCGAGGAACAAAGTTTATCGCCATACTGTCGAAGTGGGTAGTCAATGACAATACAGGGTCTAGATATGTTTCTAGAACGCTATTGATATAGCGAAAATACCCGCGGACATGATGAACCCCCAGCTGTGAATCTCCCTTAACATCCACGTTGTGGACTCCAAGCTCAATGAGCATTTCCAGCCCGACCACCAAAGCTTCATATTAAGCTTGGTTATTGGTGCAAGGAAAATCCAACGAGAATGCAAAATGCATGGCATGGCTTGACGGTGCTTTCAACATCATGCCAGCCCCAGCACCGCCACGAGTTTTGGATCCGTCAAAATCCAATATCCATGGCGTTATACCAACCTAGCAAACTTCTACGGGATCGCTTGGCACTTCAATGCAGGGATGATCTACCAAAAAGTCTGCCAATGCTTGCCCTGTTATGGCTCGTTGAGGTAGGTACTCTAAATTAAATTTAGACAGAGCCAAGGTCCATTTGCAAATTTGGCCATGAATAATTGGCTGGGATAGCATGTTTTTAATCAAGTCTGTTTGGCAAATGGGTTGTACGTGGACAGGGACCAGGTAGTAACGTAGCTTTGTACAGGAAAAGTACAACGCTAAATACAACTTCTCTATGGGGGAATATTTTCTCTCGCCCTTGTTCATAAGCCTACTTAGATAATAAATGGCCTCTTCATTGCCTGCTTCATTGTCTTGAGCCAACAAACACGCTACAGAAGTGTCTGTGGCCGACAAGTACAACTTCAGCGGCACCCCTACTTTGGGAGAGTTCATTATCGGCGGTGTCGCCAGGTACCTCTTGATATCATCAAATGCACGTTGATGTTCTTCCCTCCATACAAACTAGTCTTCCTTCTTCGACTTCAGCAATTAGGAAAACACTTGAGTCCGACTAGTACAATTCGAGATAAATCTTCGAATGTAATTTACCTGGCCGAGGAAACGTTGCAACTCTTTTTTACTAGATGGTGGTGCGGTATTGATGATGGCTTTTCTTTTATTTCCATCTACTTCAATTCCATGTTGGTTTACCAGAAAACCAAGAAAATTTCCGGCACTCACACCAAACGCACATTTGAGAGGATTTAATTTCAACTTATGAACACGAATACGCAGAAATGCTTTGCACAAATGAGCAAGGTGGTGGTTCGTCACCTTTGATTTGACGACGATGTCGTCCACGTACGCTTCAACAAGCTCGCCAATCAAGTCATGAAATATTGCATTCATGGCTCGTTGGTAAGTTGCCCCTACTTTGGCCAATCCAAATGGCATTATAATCCACTCGAAACAGCCAATGGATCCTAGACACCGAAACGCTGTTTTGTGTGCATCCTCCTCGACTATGTATATCTGGTTATAGCCCGAGTAACAATCCATGAAAGAGAACCTGACACGCCTGGTTACGGCATCGATTAACATGTTAGCCACCGACATGGGATGCAGATCTTTCGGTGTAGCATTGTTCAAAATTTTAAAATCCACACAAACACGTATTTTGCCATTTTTCTTTCTAACAGGCACAATGTTCAACAACAACAACACATATCTAGCAGTCCTGATAAACTTAGCTTTCATTAAAAGTTCAATTTCCTTTTTCACTTCCGGCAAGATATCATGCGAAAACCGCCTAGGCGGTTGTCAATGTGGCTTATACCCTTCTTTAATTGGAAGTCTATGTTCAACTAACTTCCTATCGAGATTAGGCATTTCATGATAATCCCATGCAAAGCAGTCTTTAAACTCTTTAAGGAATTCAATTAACTAGTACCTGTCAGACTCTGGCAAACCAGCACTGATGAAGGTTGGGCGTGGATCCTCCTCCGTGCCAAGGTTGATCTCCTCTAAAATGTCACATGCAGCCGAGTTTCTTTTCTTCTCCACTTCGTCACTCACACCCTCTCCGTTGGTCGGAAAGTCATCATCGTCGGGAACACATTCGGCCATCAAGACAGGCTCTATACAGACAAGCCTCTGTTCACACTGATAGACAACCAACTTCTACCGCAAGGTCGTGATTTCGGCCTCCACCATCTTCTCACTAGGTGGTTCACTCATCATTGACTTGTTCATCAGACTTCAGTGGACCATCTAATGTGATCATCGATGGTCTCACGATTTTGGACAATGGGTCCAAACACGCCTTACTCAACACCTGCGCACTTGACACTATGACGTTGGACGTTCCTCCATCCCCGCTCCTGATTTCGAGTCGTCCAAAATCTCCATGGTACAAATAAGCTTCAGCCACGTTGGCCCCAACGGCAAAGGGCTTCGTATCGGCCTGTACCACCTCAACGACACTGTCTTCATTCCAGAGCATCAAACACTGATGCAGTGATGAGGAACGCACTTGTTGGCGTGGATCCAATCCCGACCAAGTAATGCATTGTAGCTTATCATTCCATCCACCACGAAGAAAGCACTCATCCGCTTCTGTGATCCAACTCCCACGACAACTGGGAGGATTCCCCTGGCAGACGTGGACCCGCCATTGAAACTTGTCACAAACACTTTCGTTGGGATCGAGTCATTAGTGTTCTTGCCCAACTTCTTCAGCATCCTTGTTGGCATCACATTTACTGCGGCACCATTGTCAACTAAGACTCTCGACATTGGTACGTCATCAAGTGTGGCCTTGATGTAGAGAGGCCTCAAATGACGCATCATCTTCGGCTCGGGCTCGTTGAAAACAAAGACCATGTTCGATTCTTCACCCGTGGTTCCTTTGTCCACGGCTTTCCCCTTCGCTTCTGTAG